ATTACAAGTTTTACAGGTTGGATCACATGATTAGCACTAGTTGAATTAATTCACAAATTAGTTATTACCACAAGGTATACATTAGTTTGTATTTTACTGATAATAAGATCCAGAAGAACATTTTAAGCATACCTAATTATAATCACACTAGTCACAATTTATTTGGCACTTTTTATTTTATGTTAAATAATATTTTAACTGAGAATTAATGATTTAAAAATTTAAAGATAAGTTTTTTTATAATATAAAATTTGTATTTTATAATTTTAATAAAGGCTAGATTGAATAAATTTTTTCAATAAATTTTTAATTCAAGAAAAAAAATTATCAAATAAATTTATTCGGACTTTTTCAATTAATGCATATTAAGTATAGCCTTAATTTCAATTAAATAATATTATAATATTCAAATTAATCAAGAATATAATATGCCTCTCTCTATTAACAAATTTAATAATTAAATTTACCAATTATACATAGAGACTGATTGAGTAAAAATAAATTTGATATTGTTTCCCAATATTATTATTAAATGGTGTTATTTTAATTGTTAAGCTATCTACATTTTATTATTACTTAAGCACAATTTAATAATTTTAAGAATAATTCAAATTAGAACCAAATTACAAATATCCATTTTAACTTTGTTAAAATACTTAATTTATTTCAACTATCGATTATAAATCTTAGTTAGGAGGCATATTCATTTGAATAGCATATGAAAAATAATACGAATTTATAATTGTATTCCTATTTATTAAAAAAATATTTTGAAAAAATATTAAAATAACAAATTAAAAGATTAAAAAATATTGTGAATTATATTTTTAATTTTAAAAATAAATTAATCTAAAGTTAATTTTTGATCAAGAAAAGATTTAAATATTTCAATCATAATTTTTCTTTTGTAAATTATTTTTTACGGGTTTTAAGGAGTATATTTTATTATTACATCACTATTTGAAATACAATTACTCCCTGATAAGAAATATTGACTGTAAGGTGGATTAACATTTAAATTTAAGCAATTCATGTCTGATAAATAATTTTTCATGCTGTCTATGTCAGATTATTATGCAGGATATACATAATTTATTATGCAAGAGCTAACTTAAGTTTATAAAAAATGATTTAATAATAAAATCATAATTCAAAATAAGTTTACATTGAGGATTTAAACCTGTTGAATTTAATAATTATTGGTCACAATTTTAAAAATCTACAGCATAAAAGTATTTTAAGACTGTTTATTTATTAAAATAAATAAATTCTTTTTTCCATAATTTATAAATCAAAAATTTGACTTTGTAAAATAACCAAGAGAAATGATCTAATTTTCTATGTTTTCATTGTTAATCCAATTTATTTTAAGGGTATTTAGATTAATAATTTTTGCGATTAATTAAACATTATAAGATAAATTGATATCTTAAGCCTTTTTTAATAAGTTATTCTAATATTGATTGGTTGCCAAGCAAATAAAACATAAATTAATGCCATGTGTATTTATCTTACATTATATTTTAATTTTAACTAAATAAACCTTTCTAAAACTGTTTTTAGACTCAAAAATCTTAAAGATAACCATTTAATTAAATGCTATAGATATTAGAAGGGTTGGAGATTTAAAATTTGCTTTAAATGATTATAAGTCAATGAAAGTTGTAAGTCAGCCACTCATTATTTTCTTTAATTACAGAGTATTTCAATTCAAATTAAGACTGTCTGCATGCTTTTAAAAGAGTAAGTACACATTCTATCTATTATTATTAAAAAAAATTTGATACTTACAGATATTAATCAATTGATCTGATTATTTCTTAAAACTTGATTCTGCCTTAATTTTTGAAAAATAAAGCAGTAGCTATTACATAACAAATAAATAAATAAATTCATTTAAATAATTTCTATCCATTTTTAAAATATTATCATATAATTAAAACAATTTTTTAAACTAGCAATTACACTTTGATCCTATGTAATTATTAGCTATATGTATGTCAAAAATTTAGTTTTAGTTTTTCTTATGGATAATAAATTAATTTTGGTGAAGCATTCTATTATTACTAAGAATAATTAGATTATTTTAGATAGTAATCAATTAATCTGATTATTTTTGAAAGCTCAATCCTGCTTTAAATTTTTGTAATGTAAAGCAGGAGTTTTAACTAAACTAATGAATACATACACTCATTTAGATATTTTTCTTCAATTTTTTAAAAAATATATATGATTTTTAACAATTTAATTTAATAATCTATTATTATTAATTAATAAAATTATTAAAATATATTATTAACTCTTTGTTTTTGTAATTTTACTGATATTATTTGATATAAAACCTAATGAACAATTAATAAAAATGGAGGTAAATAAATAAAGCAAACATATAACTATCTAATGGCAATAAGAGATTGTTAAAAATTTCATAAATCTATTTAAAAAAACTTAAATAAAAAGAAATGCTATCTATCTTTAAATAAAACAATTTATTTTTTAACATACATAATGCCTAAAATTTTAGTTTGAAAATAAAAACAATTAATCTAATTCATCACATTAATGGAGATCAAAAACTATATTTTAGGATTTATTTTCATCTCATTCTAAAAAGCTCAAAATCTTAGTTTTTTCACCTTAATACAAGGGCGAGAAAATGGAAAATAAGGTAATATATAATCCAATTATTTACTTGTTAAATAAGTGTTTTAAATAATATTTAGACATTTTTATAGTTTTATATGCAAAATTTTATTATCTTGTAAACGGACTTTATAAGACATTTTTAAATTTTAGATCTGTTGGCAAATATATATGCGTAATATAATTATCATAAATTATTATCTAATAATTAATATCTTGTGGATTTAATTAATTAATTCACCTATTCATAAATTCTGGTAAATCACTATTTTATTATTTGATAGTGGCTAAGTGATCTTAAGTAATATTTAATTATCAGATTGTTTGGGATTTTTCTTCTTTTTCTTTGAACAAAATATCTGCCAATTATTAATTCAAGCAGTAGGTAGCTATTACATAACTGATAAATTAATTATTCGCTTCTTTTTCACCTCCTCCTTTATTTTATATTTATTACTTAGATGATTAAAGCTAAAATAAAAATTTTTAAATATTATAATTCAAATTATGAAATATTTTATTTTGAAGCTAAATTTTATCTATTTATTAATTATTATTTTATCAAAAATAAAAGAAAATTATTTTTAAAATTACACAATCAAAAAATAAATAGGATGATTTAATTGATTAAAATCTTATGAAGGCTTAATAAAAGATTGACAGTAAATAAGGTTACAAAAGTTAATTAGAAATTTTTTAACTCCTTTTAATACGCTCTATTTTAACTTATTTTGATATAATCTAATTCATAATTAATAAATTTTTAAACTTAAAAATAATTTTTCATAATAAATTTAAAATAGTTACCTATTTGAAATATATATCAAAATAATCTAAATCTTCTTCTATCTATTAAGTTTTTTAAGGATAAATATATACATACAGATGTTTCAAATAAATTAACCCTTGTATTTTTTTTTTCATGTATTTTTATATATCATATAATTACAAAAAAAAAAATGTTTTCTTAAATTTTTGTCAAATTTTTTTTAGAGAAACCACAGTGTGTGTTTATTTTAAATAAGAGATTTAATTCTTATCATTTTCTTTATTTTTTATCGAAAAAATTAGTAGGAAGGAATCGATTTTCATTGCTAAAAACAAAGATAAAATCAAACTGATGATATTTTAAACTTTACAGAAATTATTTTAAATTAAACTTAATCAAAATAAACTAAATCTAAAAAATTAATATAATTTTAAAAGGTGATATTCTTTCTTTAAGTGAAAAACAAAAAACATAAAAATATAAAGTTGACTCAAACATCAATATTATGTATTATTTATTTTAAATCAAATAAATTATACAGTTTACCAAAAATACTTTTCGATTCATTGCATTTAATACATTTTTGAATCAGCAAGATCATAAAAAATGACTTTATTAACTCTATGAAGACCATTTCTGTTAGAAAAGATATTATAAATAGGATTATAAATTAATTCGATTCACTTGGAGTTTTACCACTAGATACTGCCAAAATGACATAGAAGTAAACTAAACTTATAACTATTTGCAAAACTAGAGAAACCGTTTTACCTATTGAACCCTTTTTGAATGTAAATATAATTCCTAAAAAAGCAATCTTCATTAATGAGCTGTTTATTATGGCTATTATTACCTGCTAAATTAACATATTATAACCTTAGAATAATATTGAAATAACTAAGGTGTGTATTGTTTTTAAGTAAAGAAGAGTGAATCTTAATGGTCTTTAAAGGATATCATCAAAAATGTAAAAAATACTAAAAAATTAATGAAAAATTGCTACCTTTTTCGCTTTAGAAAGTTACAAATAAACATTGATTTTTTAAATTTCTTCTTCATCTTAAACCTATTTTATTTAGGTTTATGAGCTTGTTTGAGTTTTGATTTTTTCAACACTTTTAGAGCTTGATTATGATTTAATTATTTGCAATTAATTAGATTCAGCCTTCTCTTTGTTCATTTA